GCAGGAAGAAGGGCAACGGGCGTGCGCCTCCAGGCGGAGCTCGAGCTCCCGGCAAGAAAGACGAACGGGGAGGAGATCCGGGCGCGGTTCTAGCGGGGCCGCACGAGGAGGAGTGGACGAGGGAGATCGGGCTCGAGGGAATCGGGCGTGGGCGATGGGGATCGCTAGGAGGCGGCGGCAGAGGAAAGGGTCGAGGGAGAGAGTGGGCATCAAGGGAACGTCTCCCTGAGCTGACGTTGCGAGGAGGAAACGAAGGGGATGAGGGGATCGATCGGGATGGGGTTTCACTCGGGCCTAGGGTTAGGTTAGGTGGGCTGGGGAATGGATGGGCCTAGATGCGGGCTAGGGTTAGTAGGCGCCGGCTGAGCTAATGGGCCGGCCGGGTGGCCGAAGCCCAGGTAGCTGCTGCTGCTGTTACTTTTCTATTTCTTCAGACAGAAATACAAAAAGGAAAGAGCAGGAAAAAAAGGAGAGGAGCTAGAGAAATATAAAAATATACTCGTGATCCTGAAAATGTGCTTCATTTAACAAAATTGGTTTGGAGATTTTTAAAGGAAGTAAAAATAATTCAAGTTTGAATTAAATTCAAACTCGAACCATTTTAAACCCTAACCAAAACAATTCCAAAAGAGATGAAATTAGACAGGGAGGCTAGGTACACTGCGTTATAATATTGAGGCAAAGATGAACATTAAAAGAAAAGGGAATGTGACACTTGTCAAAAGAAAGAAGTAGGGGGAAGGAGAAGGTGATGAAGCAAGATTCATGCATGGAACATGCAACAACTTAATATGTATGAAAAAAACACAATGCACATGATGACATGATGAAATGCAACATAAAATAAAAGGGCAGGCACAAATGAAACACACGGCGAAACTGGGAACATATGGAAGTCTTCTCGAGTATCGGTCTCGGGGCGTCACAATATAAGCATGAAATACAAAGTCAGTCGCCACATATTAGTTCATACAAATGCAAGCCAAGAGAAGTCAACCCACATGGACAGTGTCCGTTTGTAGGAGTTTGCAGGAGATCTAGCCCAGCGACACCATGGCATGCCAGCTCTGAAGTGAACAACAATTTAATCCCCGCCTGATCAGCAAAATAGAAAATAAACAAACATATAAGAAGATGACAATTTACAGAAATTTGTGATAAATATTTTCTGTTGAGATTTAATTATGAGAAAAGGTGCTAATGGCCCGCCTTGAAAAGAATTGAAAGGGATCACAAAATATAAAAATGGAATCAAGAAAGTAATGAGTATACATGGGAATTTAATTTGGATTGAAGGGAATTCAAATAGCAATACTAGAGAAGAAAATGGTCTGATGGATACAATTCCTAACCAAAAGCAGATTGTTGAAATCCCGCGGAAGCAAATCGGAAATAAATTTTGAAGGCACCAAACATATCTTATAGGAGGTGACCGAGCGAATGATAAGGATACACTTTAAACTGGACATGTTCGTACGAATGTGAAATGTGGTTTCTAGTCACCAACGACAAGCTAGCAACATGAAGAAAATAATGAAATAGATTAAGGCAAGTAAAATACTTTGGAGTCATCATCTTAGTTTCATAGAAGTACGTATGGAAGCAGGGATTTGAATTAAACATCAGTACAAATGGGGAGTTAGGACGGAAAAATATTAGGTTTAAAGGGCAGAGTTGGATCAATAGATCTAATATATTTAGTACTACTAACAAGTGTAGAAACTGAAGATTTTGGCTCGGCACATAGAATAACAATTTTGGTTCCATAATATCTGGATAAAGTAAAAGGAAAGGCAAAGGGAAAGAAATCACCGCAATGCAAGAACAATAGACCAAAATCAGATGCGAATTAGGAATTTAGGCATTGATCGATGTGCAAATTAAAGGAATAGCACGAGGGCAAAGGAGGGGGTCAGGATATGCTGATCTGTAGCAAGTGATACGGTAAAAGAAGAGTGCCAAGGATGGAAAAAGCGGTAGGCGTAAGCGAGGCGGGTGGCCTTCTCCTAGTGCTTAGGCAGTGCCTAAGCGCCCTAGGCGCGGCCTAGGCGGTAATATAGTTTTTACTCGTAGTGTATTTGTGATTATTATATGGGTGTTGATATTAGTTTAAGGCATATAAATAAGTTAATTACCATTTACTGCCATTGAAATATAACCCGTTTGGCATATCAGTGCAGTATGTGGCATGATATCTTACTTGGGTAGGCAATTCCTTGCTTGCCCTGCCTAGACCTCCATTTATGCCCTAGGCGAGGCGTTTGGCCATTGCCTAGCGCCTAGGCGTGCCTAAGCGCCTCCTAGGCACTGCCTTTTCCAACAGAGGCAGTAGTACATAATGAAAAACAAACATACTGTTTCTAAGGAGAACTTACTGATTGATCTAAGAAGAAGTGTCACCAGATGTAAGCACACTATCAACATCAACCGGCATGACTGATCGCCGCGCATCCCCAACAAACAACAACACCCACCTGCATTACAGGAAGGGAGAGGAGAAGTGATCGATTAAGACCAATGGATCAGGACGCGAGACCTCGCATAAGACAAAGGGACGAACTGTAGGAAAGGAAACATCTCAAGGGAAGGTGAAAGGTTGAAGGAGCGGCGCCCTCTGATGGCAGCTCGCCTAGGGACGCCGGTTCTAGAGGCGCCACCGCAAAGGCCAACTAGCAGATCACGGTTGGCTTCGCTGCCTGAGGTCAAGGATGCGGGATGGGCGCCGTCACACGAGGGTTTGCTCACGAAAGGACGGAGGAGCGACGGATCGGTTTTTAAGGGTTGCGACGCAGCGGTTTAACACCAGACAGGGAGTGGTACAACCGAAAGCCCATTGGGCCCAATTTAACACCAGACGCTCAAAATTGTCATGAGAGTAGCGGCCAGACATGGGATTAAGGGCTAATCTGTGGCCAGAAACGACTGAAAGTGAAGATAGGACGGATACAAATGTTAATACCCTGAGAGGGCAGGAAAGATGCTTAGTTATAATGTATCTAAATATATATCTAAAGGACTATGATATTTGGCACACGTGTGCCATATAAGCAAAACTGCCACACCTTTACTTTTTTCATTTTAAAGTACCACACGATCCCTCGTTTTTGATCTCGCCTCCTCCCAAATGACCCCGGAGGCTCGCCCGAAAAACATGTTTCTCGCGCGTCCACCCCCGAGAAAACGGCCACTTCTTCACGTCTACCACATGATTTCTCCTTAGGACAAAGTTACCATGATACTCGTATGCAAGTTATCAGGCCTGTGTTGTGTAACTTACCATACTATTTACATAGAACGTACCAGATACTATGCTTCAACAACTACACCCCTTCAAAGTCACCAATGTATTTTATACACAAGTTAGAAGGTTTTCGATGTGTAAAATACCGTGGTACTTACACATAAGTTATCAGGGTATATGTACATCAACCTCCCCCTGGTCAAAGTTACCATGGGGGATTGTACATGAGTTACCGGGTCTACAGTTCGTATATTATCATGATACTTGCACCTAAAAACCTGAGTGTGTTTCGGTAGCATTTTCCATCGGTTAAAAATTACCACGATGTTTTTGCGTAACTTATCACGCCTATAGCATGTGTGCCCCTCATGACACTAAACATTATGTCACTTTCTCGTGGCACGCCATGTGTTGTGTTCATCCAAGAGGCCCACGCGCGAGGCGAGTGTATGTCTTTAACAACTTATTTTCCTTTGGTAAAAAAAGTTACCATCATGTTTATATTGCAAGTTATCGGTTATGCGGTGCTTATATTATCATGTTATTTACATGAAAATTATTGGGGATGTTTTGAACAACTTTTTCCTGGGAGAAAAAGTTATCATGGTGATTCTAGGTAACTTATCAAGCCCGTAGTGCTTAAAATATCATATTATTTACATAAAATTTATCAGGGGTATGTTTCAGCAAATTCTCCCCCACGGGTCAGAAACTTATCATGGTGTTTAGTTATCGCAGTGCATATATTTTCATGTTATTTACACATAAAAATGCCAGGGGAGGGAGGTATACTACCGTGCTATTTACACAGAAGATATCGGAGTATCTTTTCAAAAAAAAAAATCCCTACGGTCAAAGTTACCATGGTGTTTCTACCTCAGTTATCAGATGTGCGCTGTGTATATTACCATCTATTTACACATAAATTATCGGGTATCTTTTCACATTTATCTTCCCCAATGGTTAAAGTTACCACGATGTTTGTATCTAAATTATCAGGTCTATAGCGTGAATGTTATCGTGCCATTTACAGAAATTACCGGGGGGCGGGTTCAACAAATTTATTCCCAATGATCAAAGTTACCACGATGCTTGAAACAAAAAAAATTCAGTGCTAACATATTAAAGGCAAAAACATGTCAAAAACAGTATTCCCCTTAGCTTGTTCAACAATCAGTGTCATAGGTGAGGTGGTTAGTTCCCTTTGTTGATTACCTGCAGACCAGAGATCAAATCCTAATGCAAGCATTATTTTTGCCCGAAAATTAGGAAGTCGTTTGAGGCCATAATTGATGATTACGAAAATTAGGAAGTCACGAGCGGGTGTGCCCGCGGGAAAGGAAGGAGATCAGGAGGCGTGCAGGAAAGGAAAGAAATCGAGAGGAAGGTCGGGGAGGACGTGCGGAGGAAGGAGATCGAGAAACGTGTGGCAGTTTTGCAATCTGGCATACGGTTGCCATATACATATTTCGATATCTAAATGACTCAGTTATAATATATCTAAATATCTAAATCTAAATTTTACTAATTATAATTCGGCGAGCAGATGACACCCACCCACCCCCTCCCCCTTACTTGACCTAGAACCTGGCCTCGGGCCGACGCCTCCTGCTCCCTCTCGCTGTCGCGTCTCCCGGCGACCCTCTCCGTCGACGCCCCGGCTATCGGCTGCCGCCCATCATTTCCCGGCGACCAGATCGACGGCAATCCCATCCTCCTTGATCTCCCTCTCGGGCGTCGGGAGATCTACGCGGGGACCATGGTAAGCTCCTTTGCCTCCCCTTTACATACATATTTTCCTGCCGTGTAAACCGTGGCCGCCTGATTTGGGCAGCAAAGGAATCTATATCTAGGCCAAACTTGGAGTAAGATCCTCTTTTGAATTCTAGGTTTTTCATGTATGGTTTGGATAAAGTTGGTGGATTATATAGATTGAGACCGTGAGCATGTTTTTGAACTCTAGGTTTTCCATTTATTAGTGCCGAGGATCATATTTGAGGTGCCATTTTCATGTTTCAAGCTTATGTCGTACCAGTGTAGCATAAACATTTTAAAACAGATATTACATCACATATATTTGATATAGCATTTCCGCTGTTAAAAACTGCTGAATCCCTAATCCCTATGGCACTAAGCTTTCCTTTCCTCAAGCTCATGGGATTACAGTATACCATCCAATAAAAGGCTATCTGTGCAATCTAGGCTGTGGGATTTTGTTTGACTCATTTATTTTTCTATCTGTTGCAGCATAAGCTGGGGAGAGGAAGCCGCGACAAGGTGCAACAGTTCATGGCCATAACTGGTGCAAGGTGAGATTCGAGTATAGTTATCTCTATTACGTAGACTCTCGGGACTGTAATTTGGTGGTGATTTGTTAGTTTAGCTATTATAAGTCCTTTTTCCATATTATTTATACTACTTTGTTAAGCAATAATGTTGATGTGTTACTTAGTTGCTTCCCTCCGTTTCAAATTACTCGTCGCACAAATGGATGTATCTAGAACTAAAATACATCTAGATACATCCATATCTGCGACAAGTAATTCGGAACGGAGGGAGTAGTAACTTTCTAAGAACTACTCCCTCCGTTCCTAAATATTTGTCTTTCTAGAGATTTCAACAAGTGACTACATACGGAGCAAAATGAGTGAATCTACACTCTAAAATATGTCTATATACATCCGTATTTGATAGTCCATTTGAAATCTCTAAAAAGACAAATATTTAGGAACGGAGGGAGTATGTGGTATGATACATTAATTTCAATATTTGTACTGCGAAGCAAATTTATGATGTACTCCTTCCGTTTCTAAATAGAAGCCTTTTTAGAGATTTCAATACGGACTACGTACAGATGTATATAGACATATTTTAGAGTGTAGATTCACTCATTTTGCTCCATATGTAGTCCATATTAAAATCTCTAAAAAGTCTTATATTTAGGAACGGAGCGAGTAATTGCTGCTCTTGGTCTAAGGTTGAATTTAGTGACTGTGTCTTAATCTGATGCTCTATTTTGTGCTCCCAGCAAATTGTGATGTTGTGTGATGCCTTACCATATATTCCCCCCGTTTCTAAATATGAGTCTTTCTAGAGATTCCAATATGGACTACATACGGAGCAAAATGAGTGAATCTACACTCTAAAATATGTCTATATACATCCATATGTAGTCCGTATTGAAATCTCTAAAAAGACTTATATTTAGAAAAGGAGGGAGTAAATCTTATTATCAGTGGAGTTTAACTTCTGAAAAAAAGTTTGTCATCTTGTTGTTGCAGATGATCATGATGAGAACATCAATCCATTACAGTTATGCTGTTAAGTTGTTATTTTTGTAATAGGCAAACCCCGTTTTTACATTGTAGAAATAAGAAATGAGATGGACTGAATCCTGAAGAAGTAAAACTTGTCAGTCTTGGATCTGCTTGGAGCTAGGGCCTAGATGAATCCAATCATTGTTTAGACTTTAGACTCCGATTCAAAGAATTCAGCACTGTGATTCTTCAAGTGCATAGTTCACACCAAGTTACTGCCCAGGAATATGAAACTAAATGGTTCCTCTAAATGCTTAAAACAGCATCTATTAATTTATATTTGGATGCTTACATAAAATAAATACTTATGAGCTTACCAAACTCTTCTACTCACTTGTTTTTATTAAGGACCAAGGAGTTCAGTTGTCGCAGTTTTATTTGGCGTTTCTTGTCCTTAGAATAGCAATTGATTCTGTTATCTGATGATGCAGCGAGAAGGTCGCCCTTCAGGCACTGAAAGCTAGTGATTGGCACTTAGAAGGGTCTTTTGATTATTTCTACAGCCAGCCACAGATTTCTGTGACCAATTCTCGACATCTTGAAGATCTTTACAGCAGATACAAAGGTATAATTTTCATGTCATTTACCAACCTTTTAAGTTTTGAGAATGAGTTTTGACTTCTGACTCTAGCTTTTGTTCATATGGTTTTGATTTATCCCATCCCCCTTTCTTTTTGCTTCTCTACTCAATGGAAGCATGTTCTCTCTTGTCCTGCTGTAAGTTGTTTACTTCTTAATTGGTGTTGTATCTTGTTTTCTTTCCAGAACGTGACGCTGATATGATCATGGTGGAAGGCACATCTCAACTGTGCAACGACCTGTTGGTAAGGACTAGCTTTTTATCTTTCAGTTTGCACCTACATCTGGGCATATCTAGTCCACACTTAGTAGCAATCAACCATATAATTCTTATATGACATTAGCTGCAGCTATTATATTCTGTTCCAAGTATTGTAATTTGTCTGACTGGTTAGGAAACTTTGAATATTATTGGTTAGCAGGATGCTGTTTACTTGTGATATTGGAATGGTTTCTAGATCAGATATTAGCAAATTTAGCTTCCCTCTTTATGTGTTTGTCTGTTGGATTACATATTGTGGTTGTCTGTGCAAGTGACCAGACTCAGAACTAAGAGGTGCTGTTATTTTTCTACTGTCCATTTCCATGGTGTGTAGGGGAATCTTCACTCTGTGGGGATCAAAACTAAATATTGCTGTTATTTTTCTGCTTCATTGTATATTTTGTGTTGTCTTAGGATAGATGGTCCTAGTGGTGTATACCTTTTGCTCTGTATGTTAGCAACATCATATTGGCCCTACAAATCTCTAACCGCAGTTGCTATTTGTTTGTTTTCCAGGTGGATCCTCAGGATGTTGTCATGGTATGTGTTTCAGTTCTTCTGTACTAACCAGCTGTGTTCACTTACTGTTTGAGTGGAAACTAGTTCACTGTTTTTTGCGGCACGTGCTCCTGCAGCTGCCATCCTCTGAAGTTAATTCATTATCTATTTGATATTTGAAATACACACATGTTCTTTTCTCTAATTTGCAGCGACCTGCCTTTTCATTGTATTTAAGTGAATACTGCGATCTGTAGATCATCATTGTTATTAACCATCTATTTATGCTGTTAACAGCTTGTCATATCATGGCACATGAAAGCTGCCACAATGTGTGAATTTACTCGCCAGGAATTCATTGATGGTCTGCAGTCAATTGGGTGAGTGCTATTTGTAGTCATGGTAGTTCAGTATGCAACTAATCAAGGCCCTTGCCAATTACACATGTAATTTTTAGGGTAATATTTCTTGGTGCCATACTACCATTGCAAAATCACCAAACTTGAAAATATTATTCGAATACAATGCATCACAACATGTCATTGTCTCAATGGATAGTATTTCCCAGTACATATTTTTGCGACACTTCTCTGTTCTAATTATACCATTTCATTATTTTTAGGGTAGATTCAATTGAGAAGCTCCGTGAGAAACTTCCATCACTGCGAGCTGAGATAAAGGACGATAGTAAGTTTCCTTTTTTGTGTGAAACTGGATATTTGTACATGACTACCTAGTTTAGCCACTACCCAATTCCAGTTTGCACGTAAATTGGACTGCCTATCAAAAAATATATTGAAAATTGCTTTTATCTTCTAAGTTTTAACCTATCTGTTATTCTTTCGTTTTCCAGATAAGTTCCGTGAGATATACAACTTTGCGTTTGCTTGGGCTAGGGAAAAGGTTATCCTTGAGAGCAAACTATTTGTTCCAATATTTTCAATTGTCATTGTCTTTATTGGCACATCTGCTTTTCAACCGGTGTTATCTATGAAACTTACCTACAACATTCCCTTGATTTTACAGGGTCAGAAATCCCTTCCACTGGAGACAGCTATTGGAATGTGGAGGTTGCTGTTTGCTGAAAGGCATTGGCCCTTAATTGATCACTGGTGTCAGTTTCTACAGGTGTGCCTTAAATGGCATTTCTATCTAATCCCGTTTTCTGATCATCGAGCTGTTCCATTATGTTATTGTTGTAAGATGGTACTATTTTGCTGCAACTTTTATTCTTAAAATTTCAGGTCAGGCATAACAAAGCCATCTCTAGGGACACATGGTCTCAGCTGTTGGAATTTGTCAAGGTAAATCTTTCATCCTCGCTTTTGTCATTACACTCGTACATATGCCCGTGCTTTGCAATGGGATATACATATTCCAGTGGTCCAACACCAGTGCCCTCATACACATCAGCATTATCGACTTTTTCATATACTTGGCAGGAAATGGGTTGCAGGCAGGTTTCTAGGAGCAACCAAGAATGTCTTGATAGAATACACCTTACGCTCTTCAAGAAACTCTTTAAATTTCTTTCCCCCATTTTCCTGGGATCTCCATGTTTGTAGTTACCCTGCAAATCACCTGCTTAGTTAAGCTTCTTCTACCATTTCATCTAGCCCCAACCTATGTAGCAAAACAGTATACAGGCAGGACTGATATATAGCATGCCTTTCAGTTCATAAGACAGGAAAAAAAAAGGTACGCCAGAGCCCAACGCAATGTCAGTCTTCATCCAAATGCGTACTACACTCTCCGCTCACATGAAAATAATAAACTTAAATACATCTACTTCTGCATGCCAAGTAACCTTGTGAACTAACAGTAAGTTCACATTACTTTTTGGCATTCATCTCTTCTAAGCAGCACAATGAACAAGGAATACGTTTGGCAATAAAAACTTTGCGTAAGATTCTACTGTTATTGATGATTATCTAGGGTGGCAGTTCAGGTAGAGCAGGTACATTTTGATGCTTGTTTGAGGAATCCTAGTAGCATGCTAAATGCCATCTGAAGCTATCAATACACTACATATTTATGGCTATGCAGATCAAAATTGTAAGCACCACACACCCACTCCAGAACAGAACAAATATGGAATATCAAGTACTCAACCACGATGCATGTGCGAACAGTTCGGTAGCAGTTTCAAGCAAAAGCAAGTACTCTTTGAACTTTGAACTATCACACTGAATTTCTATCTGGTTCTGTAATCTCAGTAGGCACTCTTACTCTAGGTAAAGGCAAAAAGGGAGAACTTCAATATCCTGTGGTAAACGCAAGAAACCCACATAACGAGGAAAACTGCATAAAGCCAATTAGTTGGACTGGATGTGGGTCAGCAATAAACAAAAAGTTTCAAAGCTCGTGATCATCCTCCAAATTCTAGAACAACATTAACCTCACAGAAGTAAACCTGGGGATCAAATGAATAAACATAAAGATATATTTACCTGAACATGCGTAAAATCGAAAGAAAGGCAGGCATTGTTGTCCCTACTCTGCACATAGACGCAGGAGAGCCCCTCCTGATCCACACCGCCGACCTGGTCACAACCTCCATTGCATGAGCGCACACTAACACATGAAGCGTAAGCATCCGTTACAAAGAACAAGAATTGGCAAGAGACAGCTGGATCAGAAATCAGCTAACCTCAGGACGAGTGATGCAAGCTGGCCACGCAGTCGGAGCAAGCCGTTGGACGGCGACGAAGGAGCCGGCGTTCGTGTCCATATCTAGCTTGCCCACGGCAACATTTCTCCTACCTATCGGCTTCCTCTACCTACGCTATCGGCGCGCCAATGCAGATCCATATGTCGACCGAAGCTCCAATTTCAGCGACGGGATTGTGTTGGCGGATCCCAAGGAGTGTTCCTATGGAAGGAATTGATTGAAGATGCAGTAAATTGCGGCCGCCCTGTTCTTCCTCGCCTCAAGCAGAACTTTGCCGTGGTAGATTCGCCGCACAACTATTGACAACGAAGACCTCGCTACCCTGCTCGTCCCTGTTCTGTCCAACTGGGCGCATTTGTGGTGAGATGTCGCTGCTCATGCGCCTCTTCCCGAGCTCCCTTTCTTACCGGCGTAGTGTGGAGCCAGGGGTGACGACAGGGTTAGGACCACACCGCTCATGTGGTCCATGGGGGGAGAGAGAGGGGAGTTGGGATCAAGGTGTGAAGCGATAAGTGCGTGCCCTTTTGTCGGGCCTTGTTGCCGTTGGGCCTGCAAGCTGCTGACAAAACGTAGGAATGTTGCTCTGAACCGCTTTTTCCCGCTTACGGGTGACATTGAGAGGTAATTTTTAAAAAGTTCAGAGCAATTCTGATGATGGATGGGTAGAAACATTCCTCCCTTTAATGTTAGGTATATAGATATGAATGCCCAGATTTTGCGGGACTTGTATGCCCACTTAATCAGCATGACAAATAAACTTTGCTTGGGCAAATGAGACAGGTTAACTGGTGTGCCTAGGTTGTAGTCTCTAGGTAGTTTGTGATCTGTCGCCTTCAGTGATTCGTCAATAATCTGTTATCTTTTCAGTTCTTCACTAATCGTGTATCTTGTTAAACGTGTCAATTTTTTGTTGGATGTCCGGAAGGGACTAAGATGGCTCTTACTATGACTTGCATGTAGAAAGAGCTCATAATTGTGAACTTAACCAATTTCACTGTTGTGTTATTGCAGACAATTGATCCACAGTTATCCAACTATGACGAAGAAGGTGCTTGGCCCTACCTAATTGATGAATTTGTGGAGTACCTAACCGAGAATGGATGCGTTCAGCGTAACAAGTGAACCGTTTGAGGCTGCATTCTGACTTGGATATCATGATTTGGTGGTACAAACATGATTCATGTCGATCAATAGAGTATTTATCTTTGGATGTCGGCATTGTTCCCGCTACCCTTCACAAAGCAGATGATGTCGTTTGGTGGAATCTACTTGCGCAGGGGTTGTTTCACTGGCTAGGATTGCAAACTATCAATCTAGTTTGTATTTTGTGCTGCCCCTATCTGCTACAGCATACCCAAAACAGTTATTGGTTTACTGCTGAATGGGCGATGGGTCTATAGTTCATGTAGGTCCAGGTATGAGGTAATGCGAACTTGTGCTATCGGTATTGATTGATTGTTGCCAGATGGGGCACCTTGCTATGAGGTAATGCAAACTTGTGATATCTTTCTAGGGACCGTTGGTTTGAACTTTGAATCATCCCTGCTTTTTTATGATGATTGCTGCTTAGTTGGCTGCAGTTAACTTGATGAGCCGATTACTCTAGGTGATGCTCACTCCGTAAAGAAATATAAGAGTGTTTAGATCACTACTTAGTAATCTAAACACTCTTATATTTCTTTATGGAGGTAGTACTTGTCATCTTTTACTTCACCAGAGATGTGATTGCTTGCCCAAAGAAAATAATTGTCAGCATTTCTTTTTGTTGTTGCAACGAATTTGATTTCTTATGTCACAAGATGCTTATTTGTTGGACCATGATAAGTGCCACATGTGTTGCACGAACACATGGCAATTTCGAACGTTTTTTATGGCGAGTTTAGTGATGCTAGGATGGCAACTTTAGTTGTCAAGCATGTCAGCATCCTTTTCGAATGGCAAGTTTCAGTTTTTTCTGGTTTGTAACATGTAAAAATATTATTTGCAACATCAGCGTTTTGGATTATGCAGTCTTTCTTTTGGCTACACAGATCTTTTTCTCATCTCTTGGTGCTTTGGTGAATTCGTTTAAGCATAGTGGTATTGTGAATTGGTTACAACATATACCGAGAGTAGTGTCTGTACTAACCCTGTCACTGCTACATATACCGAGGGCTGTGGCTTGCCTGAAAAAATAATGCATGGCTGGCCACGTCATTCATGTTGCATTGGCTATTGGTCAGAAACTATATATGGGAACCTCTAGGCATCAGACTGACGTTTTCTTCCTGTCACATTAGTCCGTGGCCATCCGATTAAAGTACGCACGTCGTTCGATTTGCTAGCAAACTCCCCCACGTCAGTCAGCTTGCATGCAGGATTCCACATTAATTGCGTTTAATTTGTTTCCTAACAGCTTCCTCCTGAAATCAAGACGTACTCCCTCCTGTCCTTTTTACCATGCATATTAGAATTCTTTAAAGTCAAACTTCACAAAGTTTGACTATATTTATATGAAAAAAAATTAACATCTGCCATGCTAAAGTTATATAATATGAAACTTTAAGTCATGACACATCTAGTGGTATTGATTTCAGATTGTAAATGTTGACATTTTTTTCTATAAAGCTGGTCAAACTTTACGAGGCTTGACTTCAGTCAAATCTTATATGGAAACTAAAAAGGGAAATGTTTGTGGCTGGGGCACCGACCGAAACGTTCCGCCGGCCGCACGCGAGCCTTGTGATCGATATCGATAGTGCGTTGCCCAGGGCCACGAGCTCTTCCGACTCAAACCTTATCTGCACCTCATGCGAACCGTTTTTTCCCATCTGTCGCTTTCTTCTCCCTCACGACCGCTCCCTTTCTCCATCTCTGCCTCATGCGCATCACACTGTCATGACGAGGCTTGCAGCTAGGGCGAGCCACGGCGGGGCGGAGAAGACGGCGACGACCAACGCCTCCTCCCTCCCCCTTTCCCCTTGTAGTCCCCCTGCGCACCCTCACCTCACCTTCCCCAGACAAGAACTGCGACCGGTAGTCGTCAGAGCTGCAACCAGGAGTTTACAGATGCTACGACCGCCTTCTTATTCTTTGCTGGAACCAATGAGCTGCGACGGGCAATCGATAGAACTGCATCCGGTGATACAAAATGCTACGACCAAGGCTATTTTTTTGCTGGAACCAGAAAGAGAGCTGAGGCTGCAAATGGTGTGGAGAAGCTGCAAACAATACCTAAAAATGCTACAACCAGTGTCCAGGGAAGCTACCACCGGCTTCTTCAAAAGTTTCAAACAAAGACAGGGAAGCTGGGAAGATGTTACTGTGCAAACCAAAAAAGTTGCAACCGGCTACGAGATAGCTGCAATGGTGTTTTTGAAAAGCTTCAACCGGGGGAGAAACAACATGCACGGCAAGCTACAACCGAAGGCGACAGACATTTTTTTTGTTGCAACCGTGTTGACGTTTTGCTACCATGGTGACGGCAATTTGCTACGTCCATCGCAGCCCATGACGTTGGAGATGACATTTTTGCTGCAATCGTCGTCAATTTTTGCTACCACGGCGACGACAATTTGCTACATCCATCGCAACCCATGACGTCGGAGATGACATTTTTGCTGTAATCGTCGTCAATATTTGCTACCACAGCGACGTCAATTTGCTACATCCATCACAACCCATGATGTCGGAGATGACATTTTTGCTGCAATCGTCGTCAATTTTTGCTACGACCAGCGAGGCATTTTGCTACATCCATTCATGACACATATGTGACCGGGCCAGGACAGCGATGGCGCCTCGTTTAGCTACAAGCCATCACCGGCGTAGCCCCGGTGCTACAAGCGCGTTGCATTTTTGCTTCAACTAGCAACCGCAAAAGCTACTAACTAGTGTTTTCTGCTACGATATGCGATGGGTGATGGCGAGCTATGTCGGGGGAGGGTATCGGCCATGAGTGGCGGCGAGCATGCCAGCGAGCCGCGGCCGTCGCTGCAACCCGTCGCCACAGGAGCCAACCCCGCAGGATGCATCTGTTGCATGGGTGACGCCGGCGACGAGGACGCCCGGCAAGGGCTGCGACCGGCGACTAGGACGACCGGCGAGGATGGCGACCAGCGGCGAGGACGGCCGGCGACAGCAGCGATGGGAGAACATGCGCGGCCGATGGCGGTGAGATGGAAGGGAGCGAGGAGATGCAAAAAGATCCTTCGTACCAGTGCTTTGACAAAGACAACGATCGAACGGTTTCTATCCATCTAATCGAGTGGCTGCGGGCCGACCGACCCAAAGTTGGGCCGGTGCGCCGGCGCAGATCATTGCCGGACCAGAGGGAGTAACTAACTAAAGATATTTTGTTTCCAATCGTGAGGATCCTTGCTTCCTAAACTTTAGTTTGCTGCCCATGCAATTTCAAATCAAGGCATGTATAATTAAAGATTGTTTTGTTGCTTCCAACATTTTTATTTGCTTCCTTACGTACTTTCCATTCGTGATGAGAATTCTTTTTGTTTGCTTCCTACGTAGTTTTCAATAGTGAGGATCCTTGCTTCCGAAACTTTAGTTTGGTTTGCTTCCTAGGCTTAATCATTTTTTTGTCTTATTTTTTAATTTGTTTCGGTCAAATTGCTTCCATATGATTAGAAGTTTGTTTGGATCGGCCGTGCGCAAGTTTTCATGGAAACTGGAGATTGCTTCGGTTTGGTTAGTATTGTTAGTCTTGCACTAGAAGTTATGTCCAGTGTATTTTGTTTGCGCAGACAAGCTATGTTTCATGTGACCATAGAATTGTTTCGAGTGTATCGATGAAGTGCTTCCAAGACAACAAATGTATTTCCATCGAACATTTGTAAGAACTTGCTTCTGAAGAAAATACAATTTGCTTCCAAAGAAGTTACATCAAACAACAAAGATAGATCATAGGTTTGATTTTTGCCGTTTCAATACAATACAAACCCCACCAACGATGGCCGCACATCCTTCCATGTCTTGATGTTCCATGGTCTTTCACGCTTTCTTACCATTGGTACACCTTGACAACGATGATACATGGAAGAGTAGGACCATCGAAGCACACATCGATGATGATGGCAAGGACGTAAAGGGCAAGCTAGCAAGACCATGGAAGCACACGCGTCCAAACGACATCAAACGAAAACATGGGTGCAGCATAGAGATGAATTGCTTTCGTCATCACTAGTGCACTGAAAAAAAATATAAACCGTACTGCGTTAGCAAATATATAATAATATGTGAATTGTTAAGCACACAATGACAATGACGAAATGTGGTAACCAAGAAAAGAACGAAGCAAATCCTGCGCAACAAATATGTGATGAAACTAGGATGCATGGGGTCAGTGTTCACGAAGGAAGATGCATGCTTGTACTTATGCAACTTATCTAGACTAACCATGAAACAGAAGGCCAATGTTTAGGTTACAATAGTGCTGACTAATGCAAATGATAGAAATATAACAGAGCATGTAGACCAAAAGAACATATTTAGCAACATATGGAAGCATGACATATTGCAATGGTGATAACAATGACAAGATCATTTTTTAAGAAGGTAGAAGGGGAACAATCTATTTGAACAGAGGAAGCATATGAAGTAGAATTTTGAAGCCTAGTAGGTAGGAAGCATGAAAATATGCCATCTTGATATGGCTCATCTAAATTGGGAGTATAAAATACTGAAAATGAAAAAAAAACAAAGATTCGTCTGGAAGATGCATGTTTATGTCACCTACATTATAAATTCATAGAATCTGGTTGAAGTATGGAAGCAAATCATCTAGACTGAAGAACTATATGCAGTATAATTTGGAAGCATCAAAAGTAAGAAGCATGAAAAGAATGAGATGTGAACATAACTCATCTTATTTGGAAGCATAGAAGATTAATGATGGAAGCATGGAAATTGATATTGTAATGAAAACTAGTATTACTGCTAGGATTGGATGCATACTATTCTCATGTGCACATTTAACAAAAAAAATCAGTGACAAATTACACGTGAAATAGAACCATGATATGAACAGAAGAATCAAGATTACAGGACTAGATACCTAGGTCTAGGTCTGGTGAGTGCATGATGCATGCGAAGGAAGCGGGCGAATCCTGCAATGTTCCTCGCTTGCT